ATTTCTTCTAGTCTATAATGCATCAATCTTTCGATAAATTCAAAAAACCAAATAAACCAGGATTGGGTTTCTTGAATACACACTTTATTGGTAATCAAGGCCGCACTGTAAATTTCAAAGTTTACTTATTCACAATCGAGCATATTTTTTTTATTGATAGTTGCTAAATGGGTGTTTTGAGTTTTGGGTTATGTAGTTCTCAGTTATTCAGACATTCAGTAATTGCAAGATTGCACCGGCAAGCAATCAAAAACTCAAGTGTAGAAAATAGGGAATCTTCTGTTTTGATCCTTTAAAGAACAAACTTTTAGTGATCACCAGCTTGAAGGCTTGGAATATGAGTTTCACCGGGGTAAAGAAAGAAAAAGAGACATATTAGGTTGAAATCAGTGGTGGAAGCAGATAAAGTAACAGAGAGCGACAGTAGCTTTAGAGATGATAGGAATGCTAATAACTATGATGCGATTGTCGTTGGATCGGGGATGGGTGCACTGGTGGCTGCATCACAGCTGGCGGTTAATGGAGCCAAGGTTTTAGTTCTGGAGAAGTATGTGATTCCCGGTGGGAGTTCAGGGTTTTACGAGAGGGGCTGATTCAAATTTGATGTTAGTTCATCTGTTATGTTCGGTTTCAGCTATAAGGTCGGTTGTATATATAGCTTATACACACATCTCTATATCGTGTATAAGTACTTGTTGAAGTCTAAATTCGAGTACATAAATGTATTCCCTTTCTGATAGCTTGAACTTTTGGACCAGTTAGTATAATGCAGTATTAGAGTACTTGAATGTGTTGAATTGTTTATGACAGTTGTGAACCCACAATCAAATGTAATGAATTATTTATGTCAATTGTGAACCCTTCGAGCTTGATGAAAAATGAAACCGCCACCTTGTGAGAAGGGGGCTTGTTGAGGGCAAATTTAAAATAAATGAATGTATCCCTCTATAACAAATTAAGCTTTAAAAGGTGGTTTAACAGAGGAATGAAATGCAGTATTTTCCCAGCCAAATTAGTTGTACTTCGATCAGAATCTGGTTCATGTAAATGGAATATTGTTTGATCTATTTGAACAATGCATGCCACTGAAAGAAAAAAAACTAGCTGTGTTATATGGATATTTTCTTTAAATCATTATTAGAGACCTCTTATTGGTTTTGGAAACTGAAGAATGCAAGTAGTAAATTTATTATTATATGCTTCTTTTGGTAGTTGCTCACTTGCTCTTGCATAATTCTCCAAGTATTAATATACTTTTGTGCTTTTAGAAAAGATGGAGATGTTGGATATGTTGGAAGGATTATAAATGAATAATAGACATTTAAAGAAAAATATCTGCCACACTTTGAAGATACAAATTTAATGTTCCATTGCCCGCTTACCTGTGCATAGCATTCCTCTGGTATGCAGTATTTCTCACGAAAAATAATTAGGATATTGGGGTTTTTTCCAAATTATGAACAGCATTATCTTTATCTTTACTTCGAGATGTGCTCTTTTTTTCCGAACTTTGCTGGGGGTTAAGTCTTTTAGTTTGGTTCAAGGGACCAAATAGAGTATCAATTCTATGGTAGAGGATAAATATTTTGTCAATAGCGTTTTGTATAAACAGTTTACATTATTCTTTCTGTTTGCTTTACAATGCTCCACCCGATATGTTTGTTTACTATTCTTGTTTTTCTCTCAATCATTGGATCTGAATCTCTTATATATCTTCAGGGAAATCTAAATTTGATTACACAAGCATTGGTAGCGGTTGGATGTAGGATGCCAGTTATACCTGGTCCAACCACGGTTCATTATCATCTACCAAATGGCCTCTCGGTGCGAGTCCACAGAGAATATAGTGATTTTGTTGATGAACTTGTCAGCATATTTCCCCATGAAGAAAAAAGGGATTCTCGGATTCTATGGAGTATGCTGGAAGGTTTGTTTTAATTGAGGTGATTGCAGCTTCCTCTTGAATATTTTCCTCGATCAAATAAAACTCATATTGATAACTTGAACATGTCTAGGATAGATCTTTAATGCCTTGAAGTCCCTGGAACTGAAATCACTGGAGGAGCCAATCTACCTTTTTGGACAGTTTTATAAGAAGCCCCTGGAATGCTTGACCCTTGGTAATTTTTTTTTTATAGGTAATCAAATAATTTTATTAATAAAAAAAAATACGCAGGAAGTGTATTATCAACTTAAACAAGAAAAAAAGACATGAAATTAGGCAGTCCCTCTACGGGATTACTAGTTGCAGCGTTAAACCAACTATACAAAGTTAAATAAAAAAATTCTCTAAATTGCTCTACAGTCTGTGTTTGGTCTTCAAAACAGCGATTGTTCCTTTTTCTCCACACGCACCATACAAAGAATCCCGGAATAAGATTCCAAACAAGCTTGCTATCCTTATCACGAAACTTTCTCCTCCATGCCCGCAACACATCCTCAATACATCTAGGCAACACCCAATCTATATGTTGGGAAGCCAGAATATTATACCAAAGCCAACGAACACCGTCAGAGTAAATGAACAAGTGATCGTGCGACTTCCCATTACTCCTACACATATATCACCACTCGATTACATAAAGCCTTTTCTTCGGAGGTTATCCACCGTTAATGCATATACCCTGACAACCATCCACAATAAAAATACCACCTGTTGAGGGAATTTACATTGTCACACCATTTTCCAGGAGAATGAACTCTCCACGGATTTCAAGAGGGATTTAAAATAAGAGTGTACTGAAAAAACATCATTTTGTGCCAACCGCCACCAACTACGATCTTCCTCTCCAACCCGAATTTTCACATCATACAAATGATTTAAAAACAGTGCATAATCATCCAATTTCCAATCCTGCAAACCTCTCTGAAAGGTAATATTCCAGCTGGACTAAAACGTCCTTCAGCACTTGACCCTTGGTAATTAATAGCATGTGTTCTATATTTCTAGTGACTAAAAAAATCATAATGTGAAGCATCATGTAATGAAACTGATGACTTTCCTTACTTTTATTTTGTTTATCCCCAAGCTACAAAAAGGTTTTATAAGATAAAAATTAAGTGTCAATCTTTTTTGTTTTTTTTCCCCTGATAACAAGGTCTTGTGCATTCATGAAAGTGAGTCCATATAACTTGATATGGTAATATGGCATATCTAAAGTAGCAGAACAAGCTTGGAATAAAAGAGACCATGTACTAAGTAAATTCACAATAGTGGTTCAGAGAATTAATTAATTGATGGGATCTAATAACCTGAACAGACCTCATTTAAGCCAATCTTCTTCAAAACTTTATTTTTATGCTATTGGGGAGTCTAAATCCATGACTTCTTTGGAGAGGTTTTGCTCGTGTAGATCGAGATACTGCCTGGTTTATACATGCATGCACTACCTAATTGCAGTTTAATGTAAATACTTATCAAAGGAAAAACTGTCATGTATAGCCATATAGAATAGAAGTACATCTTAACTAATATTATTAGTTGGATATACTTCTAATAAGCACTATAAATTTGAAAACCTTCCATAATTCAAGCATATGATCGTTTGTGCATTTTAGGCACTGGGGAGGTAATTTCAACCTATTGTTGATACTTGAGCATTTCAAACTCATCCCAAACCCACACATGGTATACCTTAACAAGTTGAATATCTTCTATTTCAATTCAACTTCTGTTAATGTTGATGTCATTGATATATTTGTGCCATAAGCCGCAGCTTGCTTACTCTTTATTTTGATGGATGCTTTTGACTTCCATCTCAGCCTACTACTTTCCACAAAATGTGGGTGACATAGCTCGAAATTATATAAAGGATCCTCAGTTGCTATCCTTCATTGATGCAGAGGTGGGCTGTTATACAGTTTGTTATATTTTTAAAGTTTTCGGACTTGGGCACCCGTGACTTGCCTTATTCAACTCCAGAAATCAATTTTATTGGTTTTATTGGCAGTGTTTCATTGTGAGTACAGTGAATTCCCCGCAGACTCCAATGATCAATGCAGGCATGGTAACCTAGTTTATTAGCTTTCCTTCCTTTTTCATTTTTATCCATATACTATTTTCTTACACATTCTTTACCGAAGGTTTTGTGTGACAGACATTTCAGGGGAATCAACTACCCTGTCGGTGGAATTGGAGAAATTGCTAAGGCATTAGCAAAAGGATTGGTAAATCAGGGGAGCAAGATACTTTACAAAGCAAATGCAACGAACATTATCCTCGAAAACGGAAAAGCAGTGAGTTTAAGCGCCGCTGGGGCCTCATCGGCAGTATTTTCCATGACTTCTTTGATCATTAAAGTGTGAAAGATAGATAGCTCGTGCCACTTGTCGTGTAGGCGGGGGTGAAGCTGTCAGATGGAAGGCAGTTTTATGCTAAAACCATAATATCAAATGCTACTAGATGGGATACTTTTGGTTAGTTATCAGAAACCTTCCAAATTATCATGGAATGTTTGATTGTGTCCTACACTTCTGTTTGATGCACAACTTTCTTTTATTTTCTTAGAAAGTGGCTGATCATGTTAAATTTATATTTTTAGGCAAGCTCCTGATGAGGAAGAAAGATTCCAAAAGGCATATGTTAAAGCGCCATCTTTTCTTTCTGTTCACATGGCGGTTAAAGCTGATGTTTTGCCACCGGACACAGATTGTCACCATTTCATCCTTGAGGTACTATGGCAATTTCAGAGGATTTGGAAGTGATTATTATTTTTTAATTGTTTCCCTATTTTTTTCCTGATGGATTCACTTCTCTCTTTTCCTTGAGTATATGTAGGATGATTGGAAGAATTTAGAGAAATCATCTGGAAGTATATTCTTGAGCATCCCAACTGTTCTTGATTCGTTGTCCACTCCAGAGGGGAACCATTCTCTTCACATTTTTACAACTTCGTCCATAGAAGATTGGGAGGCATGTTTACTTGTTTTTTTACTATAAAATGCTTATTGTTGTTTATCGCTATTTTCTTGTTTATTTTTCCAAAATAACGGAAATGGCATTTTCCTTTCAGGGCCTCTCTAGTAAAGATTATGAGGCAAAGAAGGAAATTGTGGCAGAAAAAATAATTAACAGGCTTGAGAAGAAACTATTCCCAGGGCTCAAGTCATCCAATGTTTTTAAGGAGGTATAAGTCAGGAATTCCAACCTAGCATTTGTATAGACATTAAGTACACAATTGAAGCTTCAAATCCTGATGAATTATGGAATGCATGTTCAAATTCAACAGAATATCTTTTCAAGATTTTAGCATAGGACAACCCAGTATTCTACTTAAAACCGGTCTAGCTTTCCGAACTTCCAAACTCTGAGAGAGCAGTCATGTTTGAGTGCGTTACTTATGTGGCCAAATAGTTACTGCCTCACTTTTTTCTGTCAATCATTTGAAACCTAAGTTCCTCCTTTCCTAATCTAGATTTTTTCTTTTACTGGCAGACGGCAGTAACTCTAATATTTGTCCCTATAAGAAACTAGAGAAATCAAAATTCAGCCACAGCACCATGTTAGCTGATGAAAAAAGTAGTCTTAATCTTTGTATGTCATGTCAGTTTAGGCTTCAGAATTCATTTGAACATCTGTATGGTGCTTCTAAATATGGCAGATAGGAACACCGAAGACACCCAGGCGGTACCTGGCTCATGATAGTGGTACCCATGGACTAATACCACGTCGAATCCCGAAGGGCTTAATAGGAATGCCGTTCAATACAACTGTACCTGAATCACTTTCACATTTGTTTCTGCTCTTACTCTTTATATGAATAAAAAGATGGTACTCTACTTCCATAGCACTTCTTGGAAACTGCTCATGCTATGCCACTATGGATTTATGGGCTATAAGTGGTCTGTATTGTGTGGGGACATAGCTGCTTTCCGGGCCAAGGTGTTATAGCAGTAGCCTTTTCAGGAGTAATGTGTGCACATCGAATGGCTGCTGACTTAGGTAAGATGGTGTAAAGAGCATGATTGCAATGCTTAAAAAGTTACTTTTAAGTTTTGGTCAAACATGTTTCACGGGTTTCATAAGTTGCTTCTTTTTAGGATTTTGAGTATAAATTCTTACTTGTTTTAACTACTTTTTTTGGCAGTAAGTATAAAAAATAACTTTGCTTTTTTTAGGCTTACTGATATTTGACGCATCTTCTTGATGAAATGGATGTTTCCCCGAACCATTTTTTCAAGTTTTTATCCTGATCAAATCACTGGTTTTGTTTACTTCGATGTTTCAATTAGGGTTCGAGAAGAAAAATCAGATATCGGATACTGTTCGATGTTTCAATTAGGGTTCGAGAAGAAAAATCAGATATCGGATACTGCTCTGCAGAGGCTACTTGCTTGGTTAAGGACACTCGCTTGAGAAGATCCATGCTAGACGTCCTAGGGAAATCATGACTGATTAACAGGAAAGAAATGCGTCCACTGTCAGTTGAATTTGATTTTTACATTTCTCATCTTTGTGATTGAATCTAGTTGAGGAACTTTTGATCAGTTGAAGTTTAGCTTTTCCGTGGACTGACTGTTGTCATTTGTTAAGAGTTTTAGATGAAAAATGTATACTACAAATGTTGTTGTGAAGTACGTCCTTTATTAAAGCAGTGTTCAAATATATTTATTTGCATTGCGTTCTCCTAAATTATGAAGTTGAATTAATAAAAATAGAGAATGGGACCAAACTGTACAAATGAAACATAATGATGATGTGTCAAAATATAAGTTAATAAGTTATTTGATTGATGAAATTTTGATCCAATTAAATCTCGTCACATCATCTGTTGGTAAATCACTATATAAGTTCTTATGTAGATATAGCACAATCAAATTAAAAATACTGTCCAAAGAACTGTCTGCATCGCGTGCAACACAATATTGCTAATGCTTCGTTAGAAAAGAATAGACATCTGTATTTTGATTGAGAAATCATATACATAAATGTGTAACATACAAAAACGGAACTTACCAGCAAGGCAATAACACACCCTAAGCCAAAAGAGAATGCACAGAAGAATACAATACTTGCTGATCAACCAATAAAATGCATCTTACACCAACAATGGAAGTAAAAGCACACTGCAAATAATTCAATTCCGCACCAACAAGGAATCCAAAAGATATGCATACCCCGATGATGGAAAGTGGTACTAGAATACTCTCAGGGCATGTTTGATAAGGTGGAATGGATAGCACTCGACAGTATTAAAAATGAAAAAGAGCTAAAGATCTTTTTCATTGTATTGTCGAGCCCTATCTAGGACTGTGCGCCAACATTTCCTCAATGTTCAAATAGATGGCCATAATCTTCACGAGTGGATAAGAAGCACCGGGTATTTTTTTTATACTTGTGTACTTGAAAGACATTTCCACTGCCCCACACGAGGTCCCCTGTCTAAGAGCATTAACAAGCCTGCGTTGTTGCTGCTCGATAACCCGAACATGTATCTAAAATCATAAGAAAAACTTTACGAGTTTAGGTACATTTTCTTCATTGGCTCCAGAAAAGAACTTGCTAATTACAAGACCAAATGATGGCCTAACTTAGGCATAAATTATCAGATGAATAAATGTCCATCCTGCATGCAATCCTCTCAATCAGTTTTTTCTCCTACAGACTCGAGAGACAGGTATAATGCTCCAGGTTTGCATATGTATCAACATATTTGAGTACCCTTGGCACGGGCTGCCATTGCTCCAGGTCAAAAATTATATTACTGCCCTTTCCTACTTAGGTACATACTGTTCTACTCAATGCCAAAGTCAATGTCTAAAGTAAAATCTGGAGAATAAGGAGCTATTCTCTTTATATTTCAGTTTTGAGTTTTGAATTCATTTTAGGTTTTGCGTTTTGAAAAATTGTTTTCAAAAATCAAAAATTGGAAAACCCGTTCTCTTTCTTCCTCTCTCTCACCTCTCTCTCCTTCCCCTCTCTGTCGTCTCTCTCTCTTCTTCCACTCTTTGTCGAAGAGCAACGACGGTGGTTGGTTGTGGCTGCGATCGCCAGCAGCTTTGTCTCTCTTTTTTTTCTTTTTTTTATTGTGGCTGTGGCAGTGGGGTGTGGTGGTTTTGGGTGCGTGGTGTGGCAATGGTGTTCGGGTGCGTGGATGTGGCAGTAGTGTTTGGGTGTGGCGGTGGTTGTTGCGGTGGCGGTGGCTGTGGTGGTTCTATGGTGATTTTGGAGGTTTTTGTGGTGTTGGATCCGACGGTTGTGTGGTGACGGTTTTTGTGGATGGGGGTTGTGGTGTTGGCTGTGGTGGCGGATCTGGCGGTTATGTGGTGGTGGTGTGGTGCAGGAGGCGATAACGGTGGATGCAGCGATAGCGGCGGTGTAGTGCTGGTGGCAGTGGTAGTGGTGATATTAAACTGAAAACACCTAAAACGCGTTTTGAAAATTTTAGCTTGATTTTTTGTAAATTTTTAACTTGTTTTCTAAAACGTGTTTCCGAAAATAGGAAAGAGAACGTGTATTTTATGGCAACTACTGTTTACGAGCTTATAAAATATGACCAGCAATTCTTACATCCTAGTTACTGAAGTGATTTGATTATGTGGAAATACAAATATATATAGAACAGAACAAATCAACCTAGCAAAATTTGCAGTATGATTATATAAAGCAATTACTCGATGAACAGATATCTCTATTACAGAGTTCAGTAAATATGTACTCACCTGCATCTGCGTGCTTTTCTTCTCCAGAAAACCAAGGTTATGATCCACTGAACATGAAAATGAGATAATATACAGTAAGCAATTATGAAACAGATGCAAGGCATGATTCTAGAACAAGGAAAAAGGGATAAAATTATAGTAATATTTCATACAATCAAACTGATTGGATAATCACAAAACTTGAGAAAAAACTTGAGACGATTAAAGATGTATGCAACATAAAAATAATCTGAAAAAGCTTTTGCTTTTCAGTCTTTACTTCTGTCAAATAAAACTTGGATGCAAATAAGTAATTATATAACAAAATTTAAAAAAAAGAACTATATGGAAATCCGAATCAGATGGAGTAAACTAAAAAGTTTTGGATGGAGATTAGAATCAGAAAAAAGGTGCTAAAAACTCCAATAAGGAAAACAACAATATAAAACTATACCGAGTCCAATTCGGTAACTGTAATTCAAAGCATAAACAATGGCACAAGGGCAATCCAGAAAGATATCAATGTAATCAACAGAATCAGATGTGCCAAAAATGCAGAGTGCTCAGTGCTCACAAATCACACTGATCAAAATGCATTGAGCAGGATGAAGTACAAACACACATCATAATTGGAGGCATGCAACAAATTAGTCCCCAATTTGATCCCTTCACAACTAAATGAAGAAATGACTGTCAATATGCATATCAGATTACCTTGAATATTGCCATAAAGGAAAAACTTCCAACTACTGATGGCTTCTTCAGAGGCATCCTTCTCTCCGGTGTCATTTCTTTACACAAGTTCTGAGCTATCTCCTTCAACAACACAAATTGTGCTTTATCAGTCCCAATAGAAACGATTGCCTGTCTCATTGATTCTCTATCGGCTTCAAGAGCCTGAAGCCTAGCATACAGCTTCTGGATCTCTGGATCTTTAACATCTGAATAAATCAGTGACTCCCTTGGAGTAGTAGTTGTCATATAGTCATCCCCCATTCCTACAGAAGCCTTGGGCTCCTTCAGACCATGAGCCTCCTGGTGAACAGAATCAATTGTATAAACTCTGTCGCTTGTGTCATCTCCAACTTCTGATGAATTATCCACCTTACTCAAAGTAGAATTCTCCATCTGCGGAAATCCATTCTTAAAACTTCCACCAAATTTTGGAGATTCTGCAAATAAGGAATTTGAACTATCATCTGAGAACTTTCTAGAATGCCTAGGCTGCCTTGGGGACTGACCAACTATCACCTTTTCAAGCATATTTTTAACACCACCAAGTTCTGCTTTAGGATGAATGTTCCTAGGACTTTTTTCTAATTGGTTGATTCGGTATTCAAAATCCTTCAAATGAACCTTAGAACTAGGTGTTTCCCCAAATGCATATTTATCGACATCAGCAGCTTCATCATCACCATCAGGATAAGCCTGGGACTCACTAAAATTGCACTTCAAAGGAGGGTAAAGCTCATAATGGGGCAATTCAAATTGCCCATCAAGGTTCTCTGTTATACTATTGTACCGGATCATACTGTTCTCTCCATCAGCCTCAGCCTCAGTCGGGTCATAACTCATTATCCTATGCTTATAGGCCTGCACCTCACATCTGAGCGATAGAATGGATTGCTCCCTCTTATACAACAAATCCTCCAACGCCAACATTTCCTGCTGATCATGTGCCATTTTCTCCTCTACAAACCTCTTAAACTGCTTAGCCTCCATCTGAATCTCTGCCTTCTCCCTCTGCAACCTCAGAATCATTGACATGGCCTCATTGGCAGCTGAGGAGGCCGCATCCCTCTCCTCCTCCAACTCATCTATGAGCTCCTGAATGGTCTGCTGTTGGCTGCTGACAGTTTCACGCAATGCCATACACTCATTTCCTATTTCCACACGAGCATTTTGTGGTAAAATGAGACCTGGGACTGTGAACTGGTTCTCTTCTTTAAGTTCATTGAACTTCCGTTTCACAGACCGGAGACATGTACCAGAAAATGACCCATTCATTGTCGAACAGCTACACCCACAGTTGCAACATTCAACCAGACTAATTGACCGGGGCATATCCTCAGAATCCATGGATCAACACTTTCACTAAATCTCAAACACCCCAAATCAAATTCAACACTCCTAGAATCTAGTTTGATGCTAAAAATTAATTTCAACGACCATTTACAAAATCAAACGCTTCCATGCCTCCCTCTGTGAATATTTATAATTCCCTCAACGTTATTTGGAAAAACTTCCCTTTTTTCCTCAATCCCACATATTATCGATGAATTCACCAACATCTTGTAGCCAAAATAATTCCTACAAAGAAAATTAAGAAGAAAAGACCCTCAATTCTAAGAACTCTAAAATTTCACAATATCTACATTACCATATTCAAAATACAACGTGTGAGAACACGAATTACCTCGAGCTCGGAGGAGGCTGAAAAGGTAGCTGAAAAATCAAGGTGAATATTCCCAGAATCTTCGCAGTTGGGATTCTGGGAATGATATTCTTGGGAAAACTGGGCGAGGTTGAAGGGTGAATTTCCCCGAAAAATTGAAGATTTGAGAAAAAAGAGGGAATAATATATAAATAGCGTGGAGGGAGAGCTGGAGGAGAAATCGAGTTTGAAGGGTTTTCGAAATGCTTCGTCTATCGTGAAAATTGACGACTCTTTTAGAGAGAGGGTAAGACGGCTAGAGAGAGAGAGAAGGGATTCAGTTGGTGGGGCGGGGATGAGGATGAAATTGAGATTAGAAATATTAGTGATAAAATTAATCATTATGAAAGTAGAATTTTGAACGATGATTTTTAATTAAAAAATAGCAAAAAAATTGAATTTGCGTGAAGAATATGTGATAAAAAATAAGTATATAAAAAAATTTGAAAATAATGATTGTCAAACAGGTCTAATGTAACCCTACAATTTTTATTTCTTGCATTACATTTTAATTGCACTTAACATTCTTAAATTTTATTTATTATAGCATTTATGTCTAACTATTTTTCATGTCATTCTTATTCTCAAATTTTTTATTGATTAAAACACTTTTTATTTGATAACAGTTTTATATTCAAAAGTGACGTTGAAATAGAGTAAAATAACTTATTTTTCATCACACTTTTAAAAAATAGGTAAATAAAAAGTGCGAATAAATATTCTTCCTTCTTTCTAAAGTATGAAAACAAAATATTTTGATATAAATTATCATTAAAGAAGAAACGTATTAATTAATGGAAGGTTGAATATAAGAATTCGATTAAAAAAAAAGTTAAGGAAATAATTACTACAATAAGCAAAGATTGAGTAACTTAACTGCAATTAAAATGTGTTGTTTTAAAATTGTGGAGCAATATAACCACGCTAAAATTAATTTGTCAATGTGTGTACCTTAAATTTAATTTTTTTTTTCGATTTAATCACTCGACATCAAAAGTAAAATTTTAATTAAAATCGATCACTTTGTTAGTCTTCTTTTTGTTAATTAATGTAAAATTTGTTGTGTTAAAAGTCGAGAATGCGTAAAAGATGTTAAGAGATCAACTACTACTACACGCAGTGTGTGATAAGCTGCCATTAGATTTGGGTGGTTAATAGAATTTTAATGAATGGATGCTAAAGTAATGGTCAATGTAAAGCCATACGAACACATTTCACTTTACACAAGATGTAGTTGCTAAGAACCTATTTACTTTACGTATCTCCATATCTAAGCATGACGTGGAACATTCATGCAGCCAAGAATAAAGATACTCAAAAAAGGGTAGAAGAATTTTGAGTACCTGAATGATTTTACATCTGAAGAGCATCAATCACATAACGTGTGAGCCTCGTAACTCCTTCCTTTCATATGCTCAATCAAGTGGCCTATCAGAGTATAAATCAAATCAGCATCACGATGAGTTCTGTCTCGTGAAAAGAATAAGTGCACTTCGTTGTTCATCTCTAGCCAACTACACCCGATTTCTTTCACCACCCCGTTTTTCTCCATTCTCTCCCTCACCTTCTTTACATCAATCCACATGCCTTTAGATGCAAAGAGATTTGAGAGTAAGGTATATGAACCGCTGTCCTTTGGATCAATTGAAATGGCCATCTCAGCAGCATGTTCAGCCAGTTCCAGATTACCAGTAACTTGGCATGGACTGAGAAAGCTTTTCCAAACTATAGCTGCTGGTTGTATTGACATTTTCTCAATAAAAGCCTTTGCTTCGTACAACTTACCAGCTCGACCAAATAGAGAAACCATGCAAGTGTAATGCTCAATTCCCGGCTCAATCCCATACCTAGACATTGACTCAAAGTAATTGAATCCTTCATCTAAAAGCCCCACATGGGAACATGCCGACAGCACACCAACAAACGAGACATAGTTGGGATGCATTCCTGCATTTTTCATTTCCTCGAATATTTCAAGAGCTTTCTTTGCATCCCCATGCTGCGCATACATTGATATAATTGAATTCCAACACACAATATCTTTATGAACGATAGAATGGAAAACTTTTCGTGCTGCTTCTATGCTTCCACACTTTGCGTACATATCGACAAGTGCATTTGTAACAAATGGACCAGAGTCGAGACCCAGCTTTATTGCTTGGTTATGGAACTGGAGACCATGCAACAGACATGATAGATTACTAGATGCCATTAGCATGGCAAGCATAGTGAACTCATTTGGTCTCTGTATCCTGTGCTGCAACTCTAAGTAGAGCCTAAGAGCCTCCTCATTTTTTGATTGTCTTGCATAGCCAAAAAGCATGGAATTCCAAACTACTATGTCTTTGTCACTAATCTCTTCGAATAAATGCCTTGCATCTTTAACAGATAAAAACTTTGAGTAAACATCTATCAAGGAACTTCCAACAAATATGTCAAAACAGAATCCAAACTTGATCATGAGAGAGTGAAGTTGCGTGCATAGTCCCAATGCAATTTGTGAAGATGATATTCCAAGAAGGCTAACAAAGGTTAGTAAACTAGGTGTGATCGAATTAAGCCTCATCTCGGTGAAAATGTCAAGTGCCTTGTATAAATTTCGTTGTCTAGAGTATCCCTCAATCATTGCATTATAAGAGACCACACTGCCATTTTCCGAGTCGTGGAATGCTCTTTCAGCATCAATCAATGAGTCACACTTTGAGTACAAGTCAATCAGGCTGTTATTCACATATTCATCAGAATCAAGATTGGTCTTCACGGTATAAGCATGTATTTCTCTACCCTGCTCAAGAGCACCAACAGAACCACATGAAGTGAGAACGCTACTGCAAGCAAATCCATCTGGTTTCCAACCCAGTCTATTCATATCAGTAAGCAGCTTCATTGCCTCTAAATCAAAGCCACTCTGCATGTGCCCAGAAATCATTGTTGTCCAAGAAATCACATCCTTGACCACCATTTGGTGAAAAACTTTTCTTCCAGTTTTCACATCACCACACTTGATATAGAAATCCATAATCACATTACTCAGTGAAGCGTCCATGTCCCCACCCCTCCTAAGCACATAAGCATGAACTTGCTTTCCCCCTTCAAGAAACTCAAGCATTGAACATGCAACCAAAACACTAGATATCACGTATCTATCAGGAATAACTTCAGATTCTACCATATGCCTAAACAAATTCAGTGAAATATCACCCCTTCCACTTTTGGCAAAACCCATCAGGATCACAGTCCACGTCACCACATTTTTCAATTTCATATCATCAAAAACCGATTTTGCTGACTCCATATCACCAGTTTTTGAATAAAAATCAATTAGACAAGTACCCAGATAGGCATTATTATCAGAACCAACCTTAATAATAAAACTATGCAAGCACATCCCATTTTCAACACTACCCAAATCCAATTCAGTACAAGATCGAAATACGCTAGCTAAAACATATTCATTAGAACTCTCATTCCTAGTTTTTCTGTACTCCCGAAACAATATCAAGGCTTCTTCACTATACCCATTTTGAGTATATACAGAAATCATCGAAGACCAAGTAACTAAGTTCCTTACAGGCATTCTATCAAACAGATAACGGGCAGAAAGTACGGACTCCCATTTCGAGTATAAAGAAATAAGAACATTATTAAGAAACACATTGTTTTCGAATCCACATAAAATGATTTGGGCTTGGACTGTTTTATAGTACATAATGGAATTATTACTTGTTTGAGGTGGTGAAAGTAAGAGCTTGCCCAAGTATTGTCTATGGGTCTGTCTGTTATGTGTAGTAGTAGTGATACCATGGTTCTCTAAATGAAGAAAGGGAGATGATAGTTTGGAAAATGATTTGGGAAATGGCTGCTTTGTAGTTTTAGCTTGAGATTTTACGTGCAACTGCAGCGTAAGCAAATAGTTCCTCATACATAGAGATCGAATTGGACGTAAACATGCATGATCGATAAGGATTTATAAGCCAACTGAAAAAATTTATAATACTTCACTCGTAAACATGTATGAATCCCACCACAATTTATGTTGTGCACATGTCCAAAGACAGGGTTGGAACTCGACTGCCCCAACTTGATTTAGACCCTTGGCCATATCACAACTTCAGTTTATCTCTTTTAGGATATGACAATTCACAATTGATACTTAGCCGTTGTTTTACACACATTCTTTCAAAACTCATTTTTCAACCACAAATTCTTCAATAAAATAATATTTGTCATCACATTCATAACTTTTCCTTACTTTTTAATCACATATTTCTCATCGTATCACTATTTAAAATACATTATTTTTAGTTATCAAAAAAAAAAAAATAACATTATTTTCTCAATAACATCCATCAAACACCCCTTTGCCTTTAGATTGCAAATGCTTGCACTCCAGATCAATGTCACCAACCTGGAAGAATTACCCATGCCTCGTGTGTGAGGATGAATAGAGTAAATTCTAAACTCCTATAAAATTATATTACACGAACTTGTAAAATCACGATGCAAAAATAAACAGTTGCCATTATTACATAATTTTGGGAAAGAGATCATAGGATTTTAATACATGCGACGTGCACAAACAATATAATTTAGCTTCAAACAATGTGAAGTTAAAAACATACGAGCTCTGCTACATGTACACCCTTGGTGACATAATGCACAAGCGGAATACCGGCCAATGACGGAATACCGCTTGTGCATTATGTCACCCAAGGTGCACACCTGAATGTACAAGTAGAATAATCCAAAACGTATACATTCAAATTCAAAATTAAGATATAGCCGGAGGAAAACCGCTCGTTCAAAATACAAAGCATCGTTTTCTTTTAATACATCATACTTTTTCAAGCCGGGACAGAATTTAAATGTACATAACCATCCAGAATTCTTCAAAATACAAGAGCAGCAAGTGTAGAGATTGAAAATAACATATTACATATTTAAAATTTAAAACAGCAATCCACACCATGAAAAATCTAATAAACACATTAAAGAAAACTAAAAGAATTTGCTGTATTGACTGGTGAGAGAATTCCTGAGATTAGAATAAAGACCATAAAGGGAATACTGCCGAAGATTCTGAACTTCATACCACGAGTTAAAAACTGAATCATGCTTATCTGTACCAGAAAATGTAAGTTGAATACCGAGGCTGCAGTCTACGGAACCTCCTCCCCCTCGGTTTTTACAGTTATTAGTTCTGATTGCGCAGTCTTGATTGTTGAGACAAACAAAGTTAGAATTGCCTGAGCAAGAAGAGCAGCCATCTCTTTTCCAGTACAAGTTCTGCAACCTGCCCTTTTTGAATTCGAGAACCTGCATCGATGTGAAAATGATCCAGTTGGATATAAAGTGAATTCATACTAGCTCAGAAACTGAGAGATAATGATTTTATTCGTACCAGAGTAAAACTGGTTACAGTGTATGTACTATTTGCAACAAAGGCAGGAATGGACCTTGCAGCATATTTTCGACCAGCAAATGCAACCATATAACCTCCAAAAGATTCCTGAGATGTTCAAAAGAATACAATGGATAAGATAGGAATTTATCTTAGGCTTAATAGAGCTCNGATAGGAATTTATCTTAGGCTTAATAGAGCTCGTGAGCTGTTTATTTTGTTCGAAATCGAACTTATCTAAATATCTGACATGGTTCGTCTACTCCTTAAATCATCCTCAACATTAGCAAACGGTAATAATTTTAGGATAATTAGCACATAACATCCCCACCTTTCATTGCTATTGTGGAAAACATCCATATCTTTCATTCTTTGGCATTTTCACCCTTATTTTCACATTTTATTACGCAAAAGGTCATTTTCATTAATTTTTTCAATTAAAAATTGTGAAATGACGAAAATATCATTCCCTTCAAATAAAAAAAAGGAAAAAATTAAATGCTATCGTAATCTCATATTTTTTTAAAAAGCGTAAATGAGTCCCAAATAAATTATTAAAAAGTTAATTAGTACATAATGTCTCTACCTTTCACTGTTATTGCGAAAACTTTCTTACCTTTCAATTTTTTGGCATTTTCACCCTTAATTATACTTTTGATTGCGCAAACCATCATTTTCATCAAATTTCTCAGTGAAATAATGAATATGCACTACTATTTAAATAAAAAATAAATTTTTTTAATTTCTAATTCTTTAATAATTTATTTGAGACTCATTTGCACTTATAAATTTTTTTTAAATTTTTTAAATTTTTAAATAAATTTAATTGGGGCTCATTTTTACTTTTTTTTTAAAAATTAAAAAAAAGTTAATAATTTATTGGGGGATTCATTTGCACTTTTTAAAAAAAAATTGGGACTATGGTTGTAATTAATTGTTTAGATTTTTTATTTAAATGGGAGAGTATATTCATCATTTCACAACTTTTCAATGAGAAATTAGATGAAAATAGATAGAAAATATGGTTTACGTAATCAAATGTGTAATTAAGGATGAAAATGTTAAAAAAATAAGAGGTATGAACTTTTTTGCAATAATAGTAAAAGGTTGGAACATTATGTGCTAACTACCCTTTTAATAATTTATTTTGGACTCATTTGCGCTTTTTTAAAAAAATTGAGACTGTTGTTGCAATTAGTATTTTTCTTTTTCCTTTTGTTTTATTTAAAGAGAAGTGTATATTCATCATTTTACAATTTTTAATTGAAAAAATGGATGAAAATGACATTTTGCACAATGAAATGTAAAAATAATTGCCAAAAAAATGAAAGATAAGGATGTTTCCACAATAATAGTGAAAGGTGGGGACGTTATGTGCTAATTACCCATAATT